AAAATAAAGGGTAATATGAAATTATAAATTTTTATTAAGATAAAATTATATTTTTTAACATTTATATTAACATATATCAACGAAAATGGATTACGTATTACACGTGCACAAATGTCATGAGATGTAGGAGTAATATTATAAATGTGAATAGGTTCAAATAATTAGATGACAAACATAAGGGATCTAGGTATAATTTATCAATTTTAGGTATACATTGATACAAATTTCTATTTTTAAGAGAACAAATTAAGATTTTTTATTTTTAGGAGTGCACATTGATACAAATTTCTATCTTTGAGGGTGCAAATTAAAATTTTTGACCCTTGGGGATGCACATTGATACAAATGTCTATCTTCGAGAGTATAAATTAAAATTTTTAATTTTTAAAAATATAAATTAAAATTTGAATAAACTTTTAGGGTATAATTTATAATTAATCCTTGTCGTTTTTTACGTATCATTTATAATTCATTCAAGCGAAAAAAACAGCCTATTACCTACAATTTCTGACCGCATGTCAATGTCCACCCTTTCTCAACTTTGTGGTACTATCTGTCTCCTTGCATAGCTGAGGACCATCTCAAACAAACCCATTTTATTGTAAATTCAATCATTATCTCACCGTTATGTTTTTCATCTCCCTTGCCAAACACAAAAAAGGAATGAAAAATTCCTCCATTAAAAGATAAAAAATATATCACTTTTACTTTTAATTTTTTTATTTTTTCATCCGCCTTACCAAACGGACTATTACTCTTATTTTGGAATTACTTTCGGTACAATTCCGAAAACTAACACTTTAATATTGTGAACTTCACCACATAATTTATGGGTTACAATCTACTGTTTGGTCCCCTGTAAGGATGTAGAAATTTCATGCCAACACACCCTGGTTCGAGGGTGTACCATGCACCAAAGCACCTAAGCAAATTGAGCATACACCGCAAAGTTACACTCGGATGAATCCCATCTCCATAGCATGTTGCAACATTGACAACCAATATTCAACCCGTAAGCAATCCACCAAGTTGAATTGACTTGCACAACCCATCATTCCTATTGAAAGAAGCTGGAAAAACAACACTAAATAAGATACACTATTATCTTGATCGTCTTTGGTGTATATGCCACCAATCCACCATCGAGATAGGTCTGCACAATAGAAGCCAACAACAGCTGTTTGATTGATAGACGTTTTGCACAACGCATTTTGATAATAATTTACATAGTATAGCACCATTATTCAAAAAATGATAAATCAGTGATTTTCAGGATACAAAACTGTTAAATACCCCCAAAAGAAGAATAGATCACATCCAAGGCCTCTCCTGGGGGCAGCAAACCTCTCCTACAAGCCTATACCTGTCACGCATAAAACTTTCATTCCATCCTCGCTGGTGCTTTGGGCAATGTGGATTGCTTCAAACCTTCCAAGCTGTGTAATCTTTCAAGATGTTAAGCACAAAGCAATTGAAGGAAACTCACTTCCAAATAATTCCCAAAAAATCCATCTTCAAAATCAAAACTGTCACGGTCAGGCTCTGCACATGCAAGGTGTCAAAGGGTTTTCCCAAATATCATAGTTGGGGAAGGTTTCTTCAGGCAATCCAGCCCGTGACTGGTGGGTAACAACCACATCTTCCACAAAGGAGGCCCAGCCCATATAGGGGTCCCCTAGAGATTTGGACAATAGCCCCTTATCTGGTTTTATGGATTTTTGGCGGTGACCCATGTACCTACGAGCCCCAATTATCAGTTTTGCAAAGTTGCCTCCATGGGTCATGACAAACACATCAGACTTCAGACAGACCAAGAAATCGAGGGCTGCCAAGCTTGTGACATGCTTCCTGAAGCCATCCAACTCCTCCTTGCCTGCCAACTCCTCCTTTGTAACCTATTACAAACACTTAAATGTATAACATGCAAATCTAAATGAAATAGTAAGCTAGGAATCTAAGATACGATGGGAAACAAAAGAGTCAGCAGTAGTCAGTAGTCACTAATTTCAATGCTATTATTCCCACAGAGTCATGAACATAGTTGCCTTCCAGACAATTTGGAATATAGTATAAATATCTTTAGGTCATTCCATGTTGGTTCCCATACAGTTTGTGAGGGATAATGAGCCCATTCGTAATCAAGTCACTATAAGTGAAAACTACGTTGCTGCAACAAATAATAAGGGGCTCATCACATAACTATTGTAAAGAAGAATCTAGCAAACATTATTGGTTGAAATTCAAAAAGGACCCACTTCTACTCAAGTTTCACTGAAATTCACACACATAAAAACACAGGAACTATCAAGAGCGTTTTTAACAAAAATGAAGCTGCTGAAACCTTGGCTAAGAATCCATAGTTGATCTTCTTTGACTTAAAATTATCAGCAAGAACTTTATGGGAAAATTTTATGACACTCCCGTACATCCTTTTATAAAATCTAAAAACTTTTATATATGTAGTTTAACAAACTCATTAGATTGTTAACGCTGGGATTTTTTAGCAGCAATAGGTAAAAGATGGTTTTTTTATTTTTTTTATAAAGATATTAGAAACCTACTGCAACAACAAATTACACTAAGGTTGGCAAAAGTAAAGAAAAAACAAAATCGAGTCTATCTTACAAGGTTTGGGAACATGTTCCTGAGCGGTGCCATACGGTTCTGCCCACCATAAACCTGCCCAGAAGCAACATATATTTGAGTTTCCTTCGGATAGCCCATTGCCCGAAGCATCACTGCCACCTCCCCAGGCTCAAGAGGGCACCGTCCTTCCTTCCGCTTCTGCAGAGCCAGTCCCCATAGATGGGAACCATCCTGCCAATCAATACAAGAGTATGAAAACCATATTGTACATTTGTGCTTGCTTTGGATTCTAATTCCAGAAATATCAATTGAACTCCATGTCACCTTGAACCGTCGAGGCCATTCTTTCGATCTGTATGCAGACATTAGAGCTTTCTCCAGCCTTCTCCCCACAAAATCACAGAATGACAGGCCCACCATCCCTTTCTCAAACCTAAGGTGAAGAGCCCTGCTTATAAAAAAAAAATCTCAGTTAACTTTTTGGCAAGTAAAAGTAACAAAACACAGAATATGATTAAGTCCCCTTCACCAAATAACATTCCCAAGTCACTTACATGAAATGATTTGAGTTTCCTGTGCGGTTTCTCATTCTTGATACTAATTGATCAGCCATCCGATCAATCTCCGGAAGAAATTTTAAAGCATGATAGTTAACCCTGCACCTTAGTCTGTTGATTTCTGGAGGAACATTATCATACCTGAAACAAGAAAAGTTTAACAACGGAAATTTGAATCAAGTTTTCCAGCAATAAAATACAATTCAAGCCAAAGAAGATGAACGATCAGTAAAACATCCACAACTTACCCAAGTCGATCCACAAAGGGTTTTAAGGCCATTATCTTCTTCTCCTTGATCCGAGGCAAAACATTGTCAATATAAAATTGTGCTGGAGCATACTTTGGAATGTTCTTGACCGTCCGTCTACATGCAGTACATAAAACTTCCTATATAAAGATTTAAGGCATTTGCAACATACTAACAGTCACACAAGTCTGAAGCAAATTTGTAATTCAATTTTCCCTAATTGGAACCATTTTGAAGAGTGGAAAGGTGTATAACAAGGTGTCAACAATAAAGCAAAAACCTTCTCACAACTTCAGAAGTTTCACGCAAGACCACAATAATTTACAGGCATTTTCTGTTAACCATTTCAGATCACCATACCCCCTCTTGGCGCCTATGACAATGACCATGAGCGTCTGAGTGAAGTCCTTGCCTTTGATCATCCTACAAACTTTTTGCCTGATCATAAATAATATAGAGCACGGATTTTTTCTGGAAGCTAATCCCATCTACAAATGTCTCAAAATTTCAATATCATGGGAAACCTGGCACTCTATGTCTATGGCACGGAGATTCTATAAGAAAACAAATCTGGAAAAAGTTGTAATTGGTGAAAATGTCGAGAAAACTACCGACTTAGAATGTTGCAAAAACTTATCGACCATGCAACAAAAGTTCCTGTAGAAAAAATTCAACCGCTTCCCTCAATGAATGTCTACACTATCATACTTCCACAATTTTTGAAATCTTAATTAAGAGTTACAAGGAGTCCATCACGACCCATATCCTCAATTGGTACATATCACAATTAAACAACAGACGCCATCAAGTTGCCTCCTCTCGTCTTTCTACACTGCATGGGTTAGTGTTTGGACTCGAGGTATCGATCATAGGCAGACCTGAAGAGAGAGGGAAAAATCATACCTAATACTTGTGAACAGCTCTGATTTGTCAGTAAACCATTCAGGGATATCACGAACTATTTGAACATCATCCTTCAAGTAATCAATGAAGTGATCTACATCGAATATGTCTTCAAATTTCCTGCAGACAATAACACAACCTTATAATGAAAGCTAGGATTGCAGTTCCTGACACAAGATTATAGCAAGCAACTGGTAGCACCAAGGAATTGTTAGTAATACTGTAGCAGATAAGAAATGTTAGCAAGAACATACCAATTTCTGCAAAATATTAAGAGCTCAGCCCCTAAATTGATGCATAGGTTCAAGTTCAACTCAACAACGGCTAATTATGACAGGTTAAAACCAATGCCTAATAGCGTACTGATAGCCACAATAGGCCCACCATCAGCAACACATTAAAACTCATTTCAAAGAGGTGATGGCAATGCACCTCATACAAGAGGGAGTCCGAACAGCCTTATTGGGCAGCATTAGGAGAAAAATTGTATAGGCAACAGTGATATCGTGTCTCAGACAAGGAACTAAAATACCAGACATCCCATCCTCAAAGAAAAAAACCCCACCCAAGTTAAAAAGAGGATGAAGAACCCCACAGAGGGAGAGAGAGAGAGAGATTAATGTTTTTTTCTATTTCAACAAACACCTTGTTTCATCACATATCCACATTTTAATACGAAGTACATAAAGTCAGAGACATTTTCATTCCCGTACCACTCGTTTACCTACGAATCCCTACAACAAACAAAACCAAAAGCTTTTTTCTCAAAACAAGTCCACACCCACTTCAATAAGTGAAATCACCTTTGGCGCACTCAATAATTCCAAACCCCCATCAATAAATGCATCATCTTTTGTGTGCCTAGAGCTTCAAAGAAGAGCAATTTCTCATAGTCTTCGGAAAAATTTCAAGTAACCGCTCTTGTGCTTCATTTATAGAAGGTGCAGCACAAAATACAGCGAAATTTAAACAAAATACTTTCTTCCCAC